TGTAGTAGAGACAGGGTTTCACCATCTTGGCCAGGCTGGTCTTGAACTCCTGACCACGTGATTCACCCACCTCAGCCTCCCAAAGTGCTGGGATTACAGGTGTGAGCCACTGCATCTGGCCTGTTTTTTCTTTATAGCATTTTTTATTAATGCTAATTATCAGTGAAAATCTAGGTTCATTTACTAAGTACCATTATATATTTTTCGTGCTATAATTCCTTTATTAGTCCTCTGTAGTTTATATTTTCCACAATTAAAAATTTATTTGGGTTGGGTACGGTGGCTCACGCCTGTAATCCCAGCACTTTGGGAGGCCGAGGCTGGTGGATCACACGAGGGCAGGAGATGGAGACCAGCCTGACTGATACGGTGAAACCCAGTCTCTACTAAAAATACAAAAAAATTAGCAAAGGCATGGTTGCAGGCACCTGTAATCCCAGCTACTTGGGAAGCTGTGGCAGAGAATTGCTTGAACCCAGGAGGTGAAGGTTGCAATGAGCTCAGATTGCTCTATTGCACTCCATCCTAGGTGACAGAGCAAGACTCTGTCTCAAAAAAAAATTATTCGATTTTACCATTTTAATATTTTAATCCCTTTTATGGAGCTGTACCCTGCTTTTACATAGCTTGAGTTTATACAAATGTACAATTCTGGATTTATTACTTTATAAATGATTGAACATGGAATTTCTTTTATGTGTGGGGCTTCTTTTAAAACATGTAGTTGTGATGTTTGTTGTGTTTAACATTCTCATCCATAATAAAAAGTATCTCCCAATGTTTGTTTGTATATTTTCTCAATAGACCACTCCTCAGGATAGTCAGGAAGGAACATTTGGGTCAGAGCATTCAGCGTCACCATCACAAGGGAGTAGTCAGCAGCATTTTCTTGAACCTGAAGTCAATTTGGATGATTCCATAGATATTCAGCAGCAGGTAAAAGTAAATGGTTTTCTGGGTCATAAATTTCTAAAAGTAGTTAAAGAAAACATATATTTTATAATAGCAGTGTGCTAGAATGTATTTTTCCCACACTTAAGCTCCACGTTGTAGTCATTTTACGTATTAGGATTAAGCTTGTTCAAGGCCTAAGCTTAGCCTCTAGGCCAAGCACATGGCCCACAGCTGCTTTGAATGCGGCTCAACACAAATTTATAAACTTTCTTAAAACAAGATGAGTTTTTTTGTTTTTTTTTTGCAATTTTTTTTTTAAAGCTCATGAGCTGTCATTAGTGTTAGTATTTTTTATGTGTGGCCAAAGACATTTCTTCTTCTAATGTGACCCAGGGAAACCAAAAGATTGGCCACCCCTGTATTAGGCATTAATGCTCCTATTGTCAATATTTTTAAAGACAGTATTGTCAATGTATAACCCAATTTCAACCAGCCTTTCTGTTTGTTTGCTGTTCTTTTGACTTTCAAGGATATGGATATAGATGAAGGGCAAGATGGAGTGGAAGAGGAGGTCTTTGAACAAGAAGCTAAGAAAGTGGCGGTTCGCTCAAGATCCAGAACACATTCACGTTCTCGTTCAAGGTTCTACAATAATATTTAATAATAGCTGTGTGTGAACTTTAAAAATGTTGGCTTTATTTCTTTGCATCAAGATGAAATGTTTTCCTTGGGATGACGTATTTTTTCACAGTCTCTCAGAAAAAAAGTTATTTCAAAAACAAGATAACCTTTGTTCTGTTTTAATTGATATATCTGTGGCCATTTATTTCAGTAATTTACATAAGATTGGCAGCCATATCATGAGACTGGGATTTTGAATTATATTTGAATTTAGTTAATATGAGGACACCCAATTTAGAATATTGTTGCCTCCAAACAACAGTTAATTCAGGCTGTGTTTCCTGGATTCCATTTCATCTCACACACCAAAAATGGTCATACAAATCTACAAAATTTATCTTTATAAACATTATTTATAAAACAGTTTTCTTTATGAGCCTAACTTAAAGGTATCAGTATTTAACATTTTTATATTCTATCTTTTTGCATATGAATGCCCCTGAAAAATCTGAACAGTAAATGCTGGAAGAAGGGCCGTACATTTGATGAGTTTTTCAGTGATTTCTTGTTCTTGTCACAAAGTTCTGTGTTGTTATCTATTGCAAATGAGAGCCTGTCAATTCAACTTGCTCTAAATCCATCTCATATCACTGAATTATTTTCCTGAAACAATAACAATCGTAGTGTTGAAATTGTCTTTATTTGTCGTTAGCAGCCTCTTACTAAGCATTTTGAAGAGAACTGAATGGCATGTGGTTGACAGGCAAAGGTGTTTCAGTGTCACCCTCTATAAGCACCATAAAATTTTATAAGTTGGAAACTACTAAGCAGAATTATGTAGTGGCCTAATGCTGTATCACGTAACTGGTCTTTTAATTTTCTTTGGTCTTTCATTCCTGTTCTTCTGTTTGAAAAATGAGCTGGAATACACTACAAGAAAGTGAGGCCCTTTCTAGAATCTCATTCTTGCCTTTTTCCTCTTCATTGTGAATAGTCACCCATTCTCAGAATCGTTGCCAACTAATACTAATGTGGACCTAAGCAGTATACGGATTTGAGGAAAAATGCTTTTTTTAATTTTTTTTTTTTTTTTTTTTTTTTTTTTTGAGACAGAGTCTCACTGTGTTGTCCAGCAGGCTGGAGTGCCAGTGGCGTGATCTCGGCTCATTGCAACCTCCACCTCCCAGGTTCAAGTGATTCTCCTGCCTCAGTCTCCTGAGAGCTGGAACTACAGGCATGTGCCACTACGCCCCGCTAATTTTTGTATTTTTAGGAGAGGTGAGGTTTCACCATGTTGGCCAGGCTGGTCTCGAACTCCCGACCTCATGATCTGCTCACCTTGGCCTTCCAAGAGTGCTGGGATTACAGGCTTGAGCCACTGAGCCCTGCCGTGAAATGCATTTTTGACACTTGATTGTACTTCAGAATATTTTAAGATATTGTCACTAAATATAAGACAACTTTTTTTGTTGTTTTTTCCCTCACTTAGAAGTGACAAATTTGATAGAAGGAAAACATTGTTGTTAGAAGTAAAATAAAATTTTTTTGTAGATCACCAAGAAAACGAAGGTCTAGGTCACGATCTGGTTCTAGAAAGCGTAAACACAGAAAGCGATCGCGTTCCCGCTCAAGAGAAAGAAAGAGAAAATCATCACGATCGTATTCAAGTGAAAGGAGAGCCAGAGAAAGAGAGAAAGAACGACAGAAAAAGGGATTACCTCCAATTAGATCTAAAACATTGAGTGGTAAGTAACATATGTCTACAACGCCTTGGTTTCAATGCATATTTAAAAAATAGTTAATCTGCTACAAAGTCTCTTAGCCAAATTTTATTTTCAGATTAAGAAGTTTAAAAGTGGGTTGGTAAGTGAGTAATTTTGTCTCTGTTTTTTGTAACATGATAGAGAAGAAAAAGGAAGAACAGATTCTGTTCAAAGACCAAGGTCGTTGAGGGTTGATTTTTTTTTCCCCCCCAAATGCAAGTTAGAAAATCTGTATCGACTAATGATATAAAAAGCAGACTAGGCTGGTATCTGTAGCATGGACACAGTGACATCTGTCTATAGTATTCTAACCAATTATGGCCACCAGGTCTATAGGAGTAATTATATGAAGCATATACTTAGCTATATATAATTTTTAAAGCAGTTATAACATTATGGGTTAGTACTACGGGAGAATTCCTGCTGTACAAACTTTCCATGGTTGCATTTTAATCAGTTACGTACAATTAGAACAGATTCGGTAGTGGTGGGGTTTGGTTTTGGAGTAGGCTTGGAGCAGGTTCATTTGGTAGGAAAGTTAAGTACAGCAAAATAAGCTTTAATTAGTGTCAAATTTTGCCTAGGGTCTTCTTGGGTTATGGCTTTTAAGATGAACTAAGAGATTGCATACTTGCAAAGAAGTACATAAAATAGACCAAACTGTCATTCTTTCCAAAGAACTAAACATTGATTGTGTTATCTAATTTCTGAAGACTTCCAAATAAATTCCCTGTGCCAGAGAGTTAGAAAAATAATTGATATAATTTATACTACTTGAGCGTCTTGGAAACCCAGGCCTGTAATAAAAGGCAATAGCCATCTTCTTACTAAGTTTTGGCAATTTTTGTAGGCCTTGGCTATCTTGCCTGAATTTTATCTGGTTGTGAGAGCTAGTGTCAACCTAATAATATTGATATTCCTTGCTCTAGAAGTTTGTTTGTTCCTTAGGGTGAGAGTATACATTTAAACATTTTAGTGCTGACTGATAAAAAAATGATGTCAAAGGTCTGAACATAAAACCTCTATTGTGCTTTCTCACATGATTTCCATTAAGACATTCAGAGTCATCTATTTATTTGCCAATATTAGAGTAAGGCTTTTAGGCAGAGTCTCTCTCATTTAGTTTCTCACCTAATTTGCCACGTTGTTGATGTCACTGTTTAAATAGTTTTTAACTGTGGAATTTATTTTTTATTTCTTTTATTTTCATGGGTATAACAAACAGCAAAAAGGAAAATAAAAAAGCACATAAGCAAATAAGGCATACCTCATTTTATTGCACTTCACTCCATTGTACTTTGCAGTTACTGCTTTTTTTTAAAATAGATTGAAGGATTGTGACCACCCTGTGTTAAGTACATCTGTTGGGCACCATTTTTCCAGTAGCAGGTGCCCACTTTGTCTCTATGTCAGCTTTTTTTATTTATTTATTTATTTTTTTTTTTGCAATAAAGTGTTTTAAAATTAAGGTGTGTACATTATTTAGATGTAATGCTGTTGCACACTTAATAGGTTATAGTGTAGCGTAAACATAACTTTTATGTGCACTGGGAAGAACAATTTATGTGACTCACCTTCATCTGATTGTTTACCTCACAGCTCTCCTTAATGAAAAGCAGTATCAATTTCCTGTGATTTGTATTCTTTCTTAACACATTTTGAACATATTGATAGTGTTTTCATACTATTGTTTTTAGCATGGATTTTAGAACACAAAATTTTCATGAATAGGGAATATAAAGCACCAATGAATAGTAACATTCCAGGAATCAAGTCTCCCTTCTGCATGGGATGTAAAAAATCATTAGTGCTTTCTGAGAAAAAAATGGCATTCGCTATGGGAAAAATGTGTAGAGAGATAATATTGAAAGAGATGGGAAATATGGAGCAGAGTTTAGGGAGATTAAGGCAGCTGGAATATGCAAAACCGGTAATAAAGAGGAAAAAGTGAATGCCAGGTACAGTGGCTCACGTGTAATCCAGGCTACTTTGGGAGGCACAGGCCAGCAGATTGCTTGAGGCCAGGAGTTTAAGACCAGCCTGGGCAACATAGTGAGACCCCATCTTGACCAAAATGCCAGGTACAGTGGCTCATGTGTAATCCAGGCTACTTTGGGAGGCACAGGCCAGGAGATTGCTTGAGGCCAGGAGTTTAAGACCAGCCTGGGCAACATAGTGAGACCCCATCTTGACCAAAAAAAAAAAAAAATTAGTTGGGCAAAGTGGTTCACATCTGTAGTCCCAACCACTCAAGCAAGAGGTGGGAGGATCACTTGTTCCTAGGAGGTTGAGAGGCTGCAGTGGGACATGATTGCATGTCTAGCCTAAGGAGCAGCAAGATTCCGTGTTCCAGCCTGAGGAACAGAGCAAGACCCTGTCTCAAAACAAACAAACAAAAGAATCCTTAAGGCTGGGTGCGGTGGCTCAAACCTATAATAGCACTTTGGGAGGCCAAGGCAGGAGAATTGCTTGAGTCAGGAGATTAAGACCTACCTGGGAAACAGCAAGACCTTGTCTGTACTAAAAATAAAAACTTAACCAGGTATGGTAATGTGTGCCTCTGGTTTCAGCTTCTGTGGAAGCTGAGGCAAGAGGAGTTGGAGGCTGCAGTGAGCTATGATTAGGACACTGTATTCTAGCCTCAGCCTGGTGACAGAGTAAGACCTTGTCTCCAAAAATAAAGGGGCAGGGAGATCTATTCCATAAAAGAGCCCCAGACTTCTGTTAAGGGTTGTGGTAGATTGAATAATGGCTCACCAAAAGGTACCTACATTTAAATCATTGGAATTTGTAAATATGTTACATTGTATGGTAAAAGGGACTTTTCAGGCCCTTTTAAATTAGGGATATTGAGGTGGGGAGATGAACTTGGATTACCCCAGAAGACCCAGTTTAATTACATGGGTACATAAGAGGGGAGCAAGTATGTTGGAGAGAAAAAGGTGATGTGGTGATCAAAGGAGAGAGAATTTGGGAAATGTTAGAGGTGGTTTTGAAAATGGAGGATGCGGCCGTGAGCCAAGAAATGCAGGCACCTTTTAGAACCTAGCAAAGATAAGGAAACAGATTCTCCCCAAGATCCTCCAGAGGGAATGCAGCCCTGCTGACCCATTGTAGATCTTCAAAATTATAATGTAATACATTTGTTTTATTCTATGTTTATGTTATTTTGTTACAGCAGCAATAAAAAACTAATTCAAGTCCAGGCATGGTAGCTCACCTCTGTCATCAGCACTTTAGGATCACTTGAGACCAGGAGTTTGAGACCAGCCTGGGCAACATGGTGAAACTGCATCTCTGCTAAAGATACAAAAAAATTAGCTGAGCGTGGTGATGCACACCTATAGTCCCAGTTATTCATGAGGCTGAGGGTGGAGGATTGCTTGAGCTCAGGAGGTGGAGGTTGCAGAGAGCCGAGATCACACCACTGCACTCCAGCCTGCGCAACAGAGCAAGACCCTGTTTCAGAAAAGTAAAAACCTAATGCAGAGCTCCTTGAGACTTTAGTTGAAGATTAAATTGAATATAGGGTAAGACTACAGGAGATAAACAACTGTCAGGGAAAGAACAATGACCAGGGAATATGTGTTAGCTAAGTGATTTCTAAAGCTTACACAGGTCTGGAAGATGTCAGAGTTCTGACTAACCAGAGACCTGGTGGAAAAAACCTAGGACACTCAGTAGTGATCTTGCCAAGGGTAGTACCTTTATTTGGGGCTAACTTAGCCATAGATTAAAACCTGCCTTAGACCTGTCATATTATAGATAAAAGGTAGTCAGAAATGTGGTCACTGACATAAATCCAAATACAAGGTATGGAAATTATACGAAAGTGTCAGCTATGAATGTTTTTAAAATAAACATCTTCTGTAAAAGGAGGCATTTCGTGGAGGCATGAACAATACAGCTGAAAATAGGCAAGGTGTTTCCTGTTTAATATTTGTTAAAGGGATGTGGCTTTCAACAGTTAAGTACCTTTAAGTCTTTCAAGGGGTTCTGATTTGGCCATTTTCCCTTTGTATCTTCTACGCAAAGGATTGTTTCCTTAAGGATAAGATACTGTTTTCAGATTTATCTCTTGATTAGGGAGACACATTTACTTAGTTCTTCCAGCACAGAAGGACACTTAAAAGGTTCACAAATGGGATTACTGTGAGAAGTGGTTTTGAAACTTTGTTGCACATTAGAATCACCTAGGGAATTTTACAACTCTCACTTTCCAGTCTTTCATACTACATGTCACTCATCCTCTTAGAGTGGGACCCTGGCATCCACAGATGGTTCAAGTGTGCAGCCAACCTTGAAAACAGGTGACATGCAAGTGGTTCACTTGGCAAAGATCTGAATTAATACTTGTGATTTTAGTTAATTTTAAACATAACAGATGCAGGTGTTCATTAAAAATTATTTTGAATATATTATCTTTAATTATTATTTTATTACTGTTTTTTCCTCAGCTACGTTTGAAAGAAGTAACTGTCTATATGATTTAGGTCATTTGTCTCTTATGTCTTGACAGTATGTAGTACTACTCTCTGGGTTGGGCAAGTGGACAAGAAGGCAACACAGCAAGATTTAACCAACCTGTTTGAAGAGTTTGGACAAATTGAATCCATTAATGCAAGTATTAGTTCTTAATAATTTAAGGTTAAAAAAATGAGGTTTTTATTCATACAAAGAATCATTTCTGTTCCTGGTTAGCCCAGTAATGTCTGCCTTTAATAATGCACATCTTTTCAAGAATTGTTTTACTTTGATAATGCCTGTGTTTATTTTGGTGCTGTTTCTCTTCATAATTATTACTATTTTAAAAATAGAATTCTAGCAAAATATTCTTGAGTTTTATAACAGCGTAGCATGTTTGATTCCTAACATCATCAAATGTTTGAATTAGCAGGAACCCTATGTGTAGTCTAGTTTAATTCCTTTTTTAAAAAAATGTGTTTAAGGGCTGGTATGGTGGCTCACGCCTGTAATCCCAGCACTTTGGGAGGCCGAGGTGGACGGATCACCTGAGGTCGGGAGTTTGAGACCAGCCTGACCAACATGGAGAAACCCCGTCTCTACTAAAATTCCAAAAAATTAGCTGGGTGTGGTGGCCCATGCCTATAATCCCAGCTACTCAGGAGGCTGAGACAGGAGAATTGCCTGAACCTGGGAGGCAGAGGTTGCAGTGAGCTGAGATTTCGCCATTGCACTCCAGCCTGGGCAACAAGAGCAAAACTTGTCTCTAAGAAAAAAAAAAAAAAATGCGTTTAAGGAAATGGAGTCCCACAGAATTGTAGTCACTTGCACATGAGGAGCTGTGGAGACACAGCTAGACTTGGGATCCTGAGTCTCTTTTGCCTTTTTCTTTTCTCATTCTCTGGTGCTCTTTTACTGTCTTTCTTATCTAACAGAGCAAATGTTAGGTCAAAAAATCACTATGGTAAGCGAAGTGCTAGTAAGTGGAGCATAACTCTTTCACGCGTGATTCTTGCACTAGTTTTGCACCACCCAGTCTCCTCCTTTGAGTCTGTTTTATTCTTTATAAGGCCTGATGCTTTTTTCTGAAGGCCAGATATCTGTGGTTAGCCATTTTAATTGTTCTTTTATTTAAAAATTATTCACTTTCTTCCTTCCTCCCACTATGTAATGAAATGTTTTGTAGTCATTTGGGGAGACATTTATTTGTCTGTCTGTCTGTCCATCTATCCATTCATCTATCCATGCATCCATCCTGGAAGACAGGAAGTATAAGGACACTTAATTCACCAAGCTTCTGATTTCATTCCCTGTGGTTATAGTTTTATGTCTGTGGGATCTTTTTTTTTTTTTTTTTTTTGAGACGGAGTTTCGCTCTTGTTACCCAGGCTGGAGTACAATGGCACGATCTTGGCTCACAGCAACCTCTGCCTCCTGGGTTCAGGCAATTCTCCTGCCTCAGCCTCCTGAGTAGCTGGGATTGCAGGCACGCACCACCATGCCCAGATAATATTTTGTATTTTTAGTAGAGACAGGGTTTCACCATGTTGATCAGGATGGTCTTGATCTCGTGACCTCGTGATCCACCTGCCTCGGCCTCCCAAAGTGCTGGGAGTCTGTGGGATCTTTTATCATTTTTATCCGAATATTGCCCAGTTTTTCCTTTCTAGTCTTAATTCCTTCCCAGTCTTCCTTAAATGACCAAACTTGACTTTTCTGTAATAATAACAGAATTCTTTGAGTTGAGTTGAACCATTTTGCATCTTTCTTTTGTGTGTGATCTCTCTGGAGCCTCATAAGAAGCTGGTTAAGTAGTTCACATACTGTTATTTTCTAATGTGGAAACGAAGTGATTTGTTTGAGTTACACAGGTGATAAAAAGGTGATTGGTTAAGGATTTCAACCTGGGTACTTCAGATTTCTCTTTGTATATCACAAGAGTGCTGTCAACATTTCATACTCTCTTATCTTTTCAGATTTCACCTGTTAAAACATCAGTATCTTTCAGAGTCTATAATCATATGCCTTCTCTGAAGTTTTTTTTCTGACTTTTCCCGTACCCTTAAACTAGTGATTCTCAACTCTAGCTGCATATCAGTAATATGTCTTGACATTTGAAAAGTTAGGGATGCCCATGCTCAGTATCTTTAAATTTTTAGCGAAGTGCCAGAGCTGCATAGGTGATTCTCATGCACAGCAGGAATCATTGCTCTGAATAGAGCTTGTGTCCAAGTAGCATGTTGGATTTTTCTGTTTATCATATTTGTAGTCTTTCTTGTATCCCTTGAACGTCTATTTGCCTTATCTCTCTCCTCTATTGTATTACTTTTTGAGAGTATAGCACTAAGTTATTTTGTGAAATTAAGATTCATAATCCACTAATTTAATTTTGGGGGCTTCAGAGACAAAAAGTCCATTCAGTTTGGCATTTAGTAGGTCATTGGTGATCTTGAAGACAGTGGAGTATTTTCCATGGGGTTGGTAAGGAATTAGAGCTAGATTGCAATAGATAAAAGAAGAATGTCAAGGTTTAGATAGACTTCTCTCTTAAGAAGTTTGATATTAAAGAGGCAGTAGCTTAACGTAGCTTTCTCGGCTCTTCTTAGCAAGGCTGAGAAAAAGATTTATATGTAAGCTTTAATAATAGGTACGCTTTATTAGGTATTGAGTGAAAAAAAATAGAATGCCTTTTGAGTTTCTCAAAAAGAAATGCTGTGCATAGGTTTCTGAGTGTATTAATGATAATTTTATGATCTGGTAATTGTAGAAAAGTTAAATGCTTTATAAATCAGTCTCAGATCCTAACGCTGGGGCTATTCTTTATATTAAAACCTTTTCCAGAAGCACTTGAACAAAATAAAGTTTTATAAGATTGAAAAGTTTTATCATCAGTTGTTTCAGATTATAGATTTTATATTAAAGATAAGATAATTCCACAACAGAGAAACCCTTCTTGCATTACTCAATGAAATATTTTGAAAAATTGAAGTAATATTAGGAATAAATTGTTGCCTTCAAATATTTTGGCCACATAACATTATTTCCCTTTTATCTGGTGGTGGTCTGGTGGTGGTATACATATGAAGCTACACATTTTTTGTTTTGTTTTTAATAGTTCTTTCTCTGTGCTCAGAAAATATTGCCACGTGCTATTTAAGATTTCCTATATATCATGGCTTATAATGAGACCTAATTGAGTTTTGAATTTGGGGATTTTAAAATTGAGTTATTAATTATTGTACATGAATTGTACCTACTAATTAACAGCTGGAGGAAGAAAGGGGAAAATAAATCAGTAATCTATCAAAATTGAATTATTAGTAAGTAGTCAATGTTGTGTATTTAAAACCATAAAATACCAGAATGAGTTTCTGTTCTTATACCCTTTCTTAAAATTTTTTTTCTTATTAGATGATTCCTCCCAGGGGCTGTGCGTACGTCTGCATGGTTCATCGACAGGATGCATTTCGAGCTCTTCAGAAACTCAGTTCTGGATCGTATAAAATTGGGTCCAAGATCATTAAGGTGAGATTTGGTGGAGTGGAGCTTGGGATGGGGGTCAGTATTTTTAATGTCTGTTATATTGAAGTCTGAATTTTTCACAGAAGGGTCACTAGCTCTTTTATTAGATTATTAGAACGTCCCTGCATTATATTCTCTTTTAATGTTATGGGCAAACCTCATCAGAAACTTATTATTTGAGTTCATTGAGTTTCAGAATTAGATGTAGGTAAAAATAAGTCTGATAACTAGAACTTTAGTCAGTTAGTTGAAATTACACTTGCACAGCTTTCTGAGTCAACTAGGGCACCATTGTATGAGTAGAACATGTTCATTTTATAATGTTGTCTTTCATTCACTTTTTCTTTCAATACTCCTTAATTATATCTTCTAATTATATTATTGATTCTTGACATCTTTTTTTAAAAATAAACCAGGCCCTTGTGAAGAGATTATATATCAGAATATTTTTATTTTCTTTGTAGTCTTTGCACTGAGAATTTTTTGAGTATTTTTCTATTACTTTCTATGATTAATTCACAATTTCTTTTTTATTTGAAGTTTATCTCATCAGTTCTGCAACTGACTAAAAAATTTTCAAATACCTATGTTCATTGAAGTTAATATGTGCTCATCTTTTGTCATTGCATGGCAGTTTCTTGCGTAAACTAAAGTACTCCTACTCTCCTCTGGAATAAAAGATTTTGTTTAAAATAACAGGCCGGGTGTGGCAGCTCACACCTGTAGTCCCAACACTTTGGGAGGCCAAGATGAGAGGATCATTTGAGCCCAGGAATTTAAGAGCAGCCTGGACAACATGGTGAGACCTCATCTCTACAAAACAATTTAAAAATTAGCTGAGTGTGGCTGGTTGCAGTGGCTGACGCCTGTAATCCCAGCACTTTGGGAGGCCGAGGCAGGTGGATCACAAGGTCAGGAGTTCGAGACCAGCCTGGCCAATATGGTGAAACCCTGTCTCTACTAAAAATACAAATATTAGCTGGACCTGGTGGGGGGCGCCTGTAGTCTCAGCTACTTGGGAGGCTGAGGCAGGAGAATCTCTTGTACCCAGGAGGCAGAGGTTGCAGTGAGCCGAGATCATACCATTGTAGTCCAGCCTGGCAGCCTGGCAACCAAGTGAGACTCTGTCTCAAAAAAAAAAAAAAAAAAAAAAAAAAAAAAACATTAGCGGAGTGTGATGGTATGCACCACTGGTCCCAGCTGCTTGGGAGGCTGAGGTGTGAGGATCTTTTGAACCCATGAAGTCAAGGCTGTAGTGAACCATGATCGTGCCACTGCACTACAGACTGGGTAACAGAATGAGACCCTGTCTCAGCAAATGAAGAAAAATGCTATTCTAATTACCACTGATGTAGGTGGACATTTTTATGGTGAAAAGTAGATTTGTATTTTCTCTGGAAATGCATTGCTCTATTAGAGTTACAATAAGAAGTGGAAATCCTTTATTATAAATACTAGATCTCATGTAAGTTGTATAAAACAAAACTGGCCAGGCGCAGTGGCTCACATTTCCCTAGAACTTTCGGAGGCCGAGGTGGTGGATCACTTGAATCCAGGAGTTTGTGACAGCCTGGTCAATATGATGAAATCCCATCTCTACTAAAAAATACAAAAATTAGCTGGTTGTGGTGTCACCTGCCTACAGTCCCAGCTACTGCAGGGCTAAGGCAGGAATATCGCTTGAGCCCAGGAGGTCAAGACCACAGTGAACGATGATCGTGCCACTGCACTTCAGCCTGGGTGACTGAGTGAGACCCTGTCTCAGAAAAACAACTGGAAAAATATTTTTGGCTACTGTTAGTTTTCCAGCTTTGCCTTTCCAGTTGTTTTCTAAAACAAATTTTACTTGTATTTACATTAAATAAAATTTTGAACTTTCTTCCTTGTTTTTGTAGTATGTATATATAAGCTTCCTTTTTTCCTCTTCCCATTTATAATAGATCGCATGGGCTTTAAACAAAGGTGTAAAAACAGAATACAAACAATTCTGGGATGTGGATCTTGGAGTTACATATATACCATGGGAAAAAGTTAAAGTGGATGACTTGGAAGGTTTTGCAGAAGGAGGCATGATTGATCAGGAGACTGTAAATACTGGTAAGAACTCTAAGGTCTTTTTATTGTTAAAAAAGTATGCTCAGAAGGTTGTAGCTGAAATTAATTTGGGATGATAACATGAACTGTGTATCCTGTATTCATCTCCCAGAAAAGAGAAAAGATACATTACCATGCCCTAGTGTACAGGCTTAATGGGACCTATTTTATAGGTGTTGAAGTATAGATTAGAAAGTATAGAAGTCTGTAAATGTATAGAAGTCTATAAATGTAGCATTTTTTAATTTTTTTTTTCAAATGTTGAATCTGAGAATTATATATAGGAGGAATTTTTCCAAACTAATTATTTCTAATTGCTTCAGTTTAAGTGGGAACTTGGGCTTCTTTGAAACACTTTGCAGATTATTTTGAGTAGTATCCATGTTGAAAACAGCAGGAATAGAATCTTAGTTTAGGGAGTGCTAATTCAGATTCATACAATGTTAAATACTTTCTGGGATGCCTTTTATAATACCAAATGATCATCCAGCCTGCTTCCCCCCGCCCCCCACCAATTGTCCTTTTATTTTAAAACAGGCCAGTTAAAAATTGACAAAATGAAAGGCTGGGCACGTTGGCTCACGCCTGTAATCCCAGAACTTTGGGAGGCCAAAGCGGGCAAATCACAAGAACAGGTGTTCGAGAGCAGGCTGACCTACATGGTGAAACCCTGCCTCTACTAAAAATACAAAAATTAGCAGGGCCTGGTGGCATATGCCTGTAATCCCAGCTACTCGGGAGGCTGAGGCAAGAGAATCACTTGAACTCAGGAAGCGGAGGTTGCAGTGAGCCAAGATTGCCCCATTGCACTCCACCTGGGTGACAGAGCGAGACTCTGTCTT